GGCGGGACCTGGCAGCCGCCCCAGACGCAGCCCGAGGCAGGGGCTGGGCCCTGCCGCTCACCTGGGCCAGACTCGGTATTTTTTGAGATGAAAAGCGGTTGCCTTGAGCAGCTGCTTGCCTGAGCCTACCCCACACCTTCAGACTTGGCTTTACATGCAGACTAGTACTGCCTCCCCCTCCCCTGCACCTCGTTCGACGTGGCCACGACCCCGCAGTGGCAGAGGAGGGCCCGTGCCACCCTGGTAGGGCACGAGTACCTGTTTCTTGCGCAGACTGTAGAACAAGGCTTCCTTCTGCATCCCAAAGCCGACGTAGACCAGGGTACCAGGTTCCCAAGGGCAGAATGCGGCCAGGCTGGGCGGGAGGCTGCCGAGACCCTGGTGAGGGAAACCAAAGGGGACAAAATTGAGGCTAGCTTCTCCAGCCCGACTCAACACAGCGGGGCCAAAAGGAGAGCACGGAGGGACACCAGCCCTTGGGCTGCAGATGTCTGAGCAGCAGGAAATAAGTATGATGGAGGCTGTTTCCTCCCACTTGCACTGCTGTCTCAGACGTGCTCACAGCAAAGCAAGGAGCAACCACACACTGCCATGGAAACCTGAAGCAACTTGTTTATTGTCACAGGAGCGGGATACATGAGGGTCCAACAGGTTGAATTTTCACTGAGGCATTATTCGTACATGGACTTGAAGGTGGGACTGGGTTAGGGATCAGTTTAACATGAGAAAATAGGGCCCAGAAGACAGATCTCTAGTAGTGGATGCAAGATCAATCCTTCCCCCGTTCACTGTGGGGAGACTACAAGTGAGTGACCTTCATGGAGACGAAATCCATCATTTTGGAAACAAACAGAAGAAACAGTGACAGAACGCAACTGCTGTATGGGCCCGGAGGGTGGCAGGCTGAGGCACCACCGCTTGCCCCCTGAAAAGACCCAGCTCCCTCCTGCATGCCAATGTCACCGTGCACCGGGGAGCGTCAGAGTATCTGCCTGATAGAGACCATCCTCCCCTTTCTGGCGGGTGTCCTGCTGCCCTGATCCCACACCTGGGTTGGAGCCAAAGGGTTCTGCAAAGCATCAGACACACAGGGCTAGAGTATTTGGCTTTATGAACCCGTCACTGGGCTCCTGGCATGAATATTCATGCTCTTTGGGAGCATCAGTTAGCAGCATGCTCATAATTAGGTCTCCTCTGTGCGCTGAGCTCACTGCTGCCTGTGCTCTGTTTTGTGTAGCACAGGGGTGTCAGCTCTTTGAGGAAGCAGGTTTTGACTCCCCACGCTTACAAAGTCAGCGCTTCCTGGTGGTTAGGCACTGCTACGCTTCCCGCTGCCTGTCGATACGTGAGAAGGTGCATTAACAAGATACTCTACGGGCAGCAGAACTAACGAAGATGACTTTCCTAAGCACATGTCTTTGGCCCCGTCCCGCTCAGAGACATCCCTCCTCCAGCGTGGCTGGTGCCGAGACCCGTGCCAGGAGCAGGCAGGGGCTGGCAGGCACCACGCTCACCTCGGGGCCGGCAGGAGCCGGGAAGCTGAGCCAGTCGAGGAGCTCGCACTTATCCTTCAGCCAGTCGGAGGCCCAGACGCTGACCCGCCGGTCCGAGCTGGTGGCCAGCCAGAGCTCGCCTCCTTCCACCCCAAAGTCGCGGTACTACAGAAGATAAAAGCAACGCTGTGACTCTGGCAGTACAGAGGCTTTATAGAAAGCTGCCGCTAGAGCTAGCGTGGGGCAGGAGCTCGTGGGAACGCAGGCCTTATGCCGTAGGGGATCAATGCCAGGATTACCCTCCATTTGGGCAGTGCTTAAAGTCACTTAAAATAAAACAGAACAAGGAAGCCATAGTATGGGAGCTGGCGGCACGCTCTGGGCTGAAAGCTCCAGCAGAAGAGGCTGCTGGAGGAGATGGTGAGGCCCTGGCCTGAACAACACAGATCACTTCCCTGGGACACCCTCTGGATCTGCACACCTCCTAAAGAAGTGCTTGCAGATACTGTGTGTCCCCTAACAACGGCCTTCACCTAAAACTGCGGAGGATCTCCTAAGTCTAGAATTACCAGGGAACACAGCCTCGCAGCGTGGATGATTTTGAAGCCTGAGAACTTAGGCAAAATTATTCTCATTTCTGCTGCATGAAGAAAAAAGAGACTGTCCATGAAGAGAAGGACAAAGGAGATGCTAAAACCATCACTCTCACTCTGCTGCACAACCAAGTCTTCCTAGCTCCATAGAGGAGCCGTACAAAGAGCCAGCTACACACAGGAGGCCAGGCTGCTAAGGAGTGACGCAGGGAAAGCACGCCGAGATCTTTCTCGGGCACACAGGGGCTGACAGCTCACAGCCCAAGCTGCTCTCAAGGGGTGCTGCTCTCCGAGAGCCTGCGGCGTGGGCAGACATCACACCTGCGTGCAGTGTGTCTACAACAGCCACCAAAGGTCCCCCAGCCCACAGGCACAGCCTCACTCAGGATTGCACCTGCAACGCGTGCGGCTTTGCCCCGCCGAAGACATCCCTAGAAAAACCGAACAGAATTTACTGGAGGGGATGGGGGCCCAAAGAGGAAAGGCAAGGGACAATGAAGCAAACTCGCTGACTGACCTGGCCACGCTGCTGTCGCTTCCCACAGCTGTGCAGCGGCACCCGGGGGCCTCGCTCCTGCACAGCGCCGGGGAAGAGAGTGAGGTCTTACCTGCTTCCTCGTGCACTGGAGGACAGTGATGGGCGAGCCCTTGTGCTCAGCGAGGACACGGATAGTCATTCCGGTGCGAGGGCTGCTGATGGCCACGAGCCCATCCTTGCCCCCCGATAAGATCATTTCTCCTGTGGGCAGAGGAGAGAAAAGAATGGGACACTTCTTGTAGGAGAATAAAAAGCCCATAGGAGAGAGGTCCAAGATCGCGGGATACCTGTGTCCCAAAACACTGTGAAAGGCTGGGAACATCTGAGTCAAGGGCTGGGTAAGATAAGATGTCCAAGGGACACCCTCTAAAACACTACACTGAAGAAGAGCTGCTGCAGACTGTAAGTAGGAAGACATAAAGGCACGTTTGTTGTACCCAAACCCCTTTGCTATACCATTGCCAATACACCCCATCATGTCCCATTTACCACATGCTCAGCTGGCAGCTACGAAAGCTCATTGATACAAGCTCTCGGGCTCTCCCTGGCCTCAGGCTTTTGGGCAGGTCAGCAGTACACAGAGCAGCTGGAGGTCAGGGTAACCCCGGCACAACCAAGCCACGCTTCCCGAGGCAACATCTCCCCAGTGTTATGACAGGCAGCCTCACCGTCTGTGGAGTAGGCGATTGCCGTCAGTGCTGCGGCGTGCGGGTGCATTTTCAGCTCCATCTCTGTCCTGGAAATGCTGAACACACGGATAGTGCCATCGCTGTACCCTGCCACTACGTGCTGGCTCTCAGCTCCCCACGCAACGACGGGACGAGGCTTCCAGGCCAGGCACTGGCAGCTCTGCAAAGCAACCAGGGTAGAGACCCAGTGACACAGTGAAGAGAGCAAGCACACTAAAAAGTCCACCTACAAGTACTTCTCCAACTTTAATCTGCTCTGCAAGGACACAGCAGTCCTTGCAACCCCAAGCAGTGGCCTGTGCCCTCTACCAAGAGGAAGGGCTTGATGTACCACCAACAATTACCTGGTTGAGCACCTGGAACTGTACCACCAGCTCCATGCTGCCCAGAGACCAAATCCTCACGCTGCCATCTTCCCCACACGTCGCGCAGTGAGTCTCGTCAGGACTGAAACACACTTCGGTCACCTGCAGCGAGAACAGAGGTGGGGAACAGGGGCCCTACAAATGCCGCAGCCTAGAGGACATCAGCTCCTCTGCCTGTCTCATCCTCCCGGACCCCTCTCGTGGGAGACACCAGACAAGACACCCCAGACATAAAGAAAGGTGGGGTACTCTGTGTTTGTGCTTAAATCTCAGGCTGACAACTAGGCTTGTAATGGAAACTGGTAAACCCAACCCCAAAGCTAGGGCCAGGCACTACACCACACCGGTGTAAGTAAAATACCTTCTCTTCTACCATTTCAAATCTTTTTTTCTGTAGTATAAAAATACCCCAAAGTAACACCAAAATTAAAAAAAACCCAGTAATTCTTCACCTGTTTTTTTTTTTTTTAATGTTTTAGGCAAAGAAAACGTTATCCAATATGGATGTCCAGCTAGCAAACAGAAGGCAGGCAGAAGTCGCAGCACTCTGGAATGAAGCCTTAGTGATTGCAAACTACGTTCTTCCACTCCAGCAGAAAGGCCCAGAGCTGCTCCCAGGCTGCGGCTGTTAAACACCTAAGGCTAGAGCGGATGAGCTCAGACTACTTGATGTTGGGCTCCTCAGTGTGCACAGGTCTCTCTAGACTCCTCCGTGCTGTTCTGTCGGCACTTAGCAAGCCCTGCAGCTCCATGACCTCTCCCACGGCCAGACCAGGGAACGCTTCTGCAGCCCGCGCACGCTTCCCGGGGCACGGAGAGCACGCACAGCACTCGCTGCTCTGCGGGACAAACCACCCCAGCCCAGCCCCTCTAACCTTGTTCTTGTGGCCGCTGATTAGTCGGATGCTCGTGCTCTCTGTCCAGTTGATGTACCACAGGGTTCCTGCCGTGGTGCCCACAATTCCCATCTCTAGAGAGTCATCAAAAGCTGCGCTGACTATTGTCCCATCGAGGGTAATCTCATGTTCTAGCAGGACTGAGCTAGACCTGGAGGAAAAGAGGATGCGAGAAGGACTGGCTGAAATGTTGGAACAGCCACTCTGCCTCCTTTAAATGCAATTTTTCTAGTGAGCCCCATCATGTGTTTGCAGCTAAACGGTTTGGCGAGGGGCTCCTGTACATTGAACAGTGACTACCGTTGCATTTGCGCTGCGACCATCTTTTTATGGGAAGGAAAGAAATAGGGGATGCAACAGCACAAGAGAAGAAACAAAGGCAATGTATTTTCACTAATTCTCTTAAACGAGTTCCTACAAATCACCGACACAAACTTCCGGCGTGATAAACTCCACCCATTTCCAGTATTAAGAGGGTTCAGCTACCTGTGGCAAAAATTCAGTAAAAAGATCCAGACAAAAGAATCAGTAGTCACGGGACGGAGAGGAAAAGCTAAGGATGAAGAGCAACAGGAGCAGCATAGTTGCAGGCAGAGCCGATGTCTGTGAAAAGCCACCTCTCAGACGGGTCCTGGGAGCTGCCATGCGTCTCAAGGGCACGGTGAGATGGGCGCGAGCACAGCAGAGGCGCTGGGGCCACAACCTCCTACCTGGCGTCGGGACCTTTCAGCCTCAGCTCCTGCACAGCTGCCACTACCCACAGGCGGATGCGTTTGGTGTTGCTGCCGCTCACCAGCCTATTGCGCCCACACACCAGCACACCTGGGAACGGAGGGCACCCGTGAATATCCACCGCTCTCGGCCATCACCCAAGGTGTGCTCCTGACAGCCAGGCCACTGATTCATTCGGGCAGGGCAGCGGGGGTCTTTTACAGCCCAATACCCAGCGTTCTACAGGCTAGAGGTGGAGCCCCCAGCTCTGATGAGGAAACCCGAGGAAATCCGGACCCATTTCCACCCCATGCGTCTTGTATCCAACACTGCAAGCTGGTTTTCTGAACACAGCTGAAATGAGTTCCCAGGGAATTTGTTACAGCCCTGACAGGCAGCTGGAGCATCTGCACCCACCAATCTCGCCTTCGTCGGCCTCCCACGTCATGAAGCAGCAATTAGTCTCGGTGTCCCACACACAGATCTGGCCTGAGTTGGTCCCACTATAAAGAAGAGTGTCGGCACCGTAACAGATAGAGGTCAGCTCCACTGGCCCTAGGACATCTGGGGCAGGGGCTCGATGAACCTGCCAGAGCACATAAAACAAAAACATCAGAGAGACCATGGAGCTTACCTACGTCGGAAAAAAGCACACCAACCTCCTCCTACCCTCGTTTTATGCAGTTAATGCCTCAAGTACAAGTGAAAGCCACTTGCATGCAGCCAACATCATCTCACTAAGAGAAATCATCAGCTCTCACAGACTTGTGGGGACGGAGCCTCCATTGCGCTCACCAGGGGCTTGGAAAAGAAGTCAGAGACGCTGAATGTAAGTTTTAAAAGAAGGTAAAACTGAGGTTTACCTTGAGGTTGACATCAGCTCCCTGCTGCTCCAACAGCCAAAACATCATGGCTCCCTTCCCTACGCAGGCCAGCTCTCTGTGAGAAAGAGGACTAAAAGCCACGTCATGGACTGGCTCCGAGATAGACGTCGACAACATGAGTTCGCAAGTGTAGGTGTTCCAGAAAGCAATGGTTTGATCTCTGTAGTCCCCTAGGCAGAACATGAAAGACAGTAGGAGGAGAGTCTGCAGACTCAGTGTTTGTTCAGGATGCTCACAAGCATACACCCTGCACACACACATCAACTGTGTCACTCCTTTGGCCGGAGACAAATGCTGCGAACACCGTCCTAGGCATGGACGTGCCTCCTCGTGTGCTCAGCAAAAGCTGCACGACATGATGGATCCTCATCCCAGTTGAGGACAGCTATAACTGGCCCAGCGCTTCACGCTAGAGGCTGTAGCAAATCCGGCCCTGCAGTGAGGTCCGCAGCCGGTGTTTGAACCGGCTGATGGCTGGCGTGATAGGGATTTCGGCAGGTTTTCAGGAGCTACTGCACACCTCAACGCATGCCCCACACAAGCCCTCCAGTGATACTGTGCACTCAGGGCTAACAACCGCCTTGAAATAAGAACGGCATGTCACCATTGCCAAGGTCAATGCCGAGATGGGAGCCGATCTTAATGGAAGCCAGCCTATCTGGGGGTGGCAGCAGAAGGCACTGGCCTGAGCGATGGCAAACATCCCCAGCTCCCAGACAGCCCCGGAGGACTGTTGAGGTGAGCAGGCGCCTCATCAGCCCTTCCCAGGCTCCGCAATCTCAGTGGAGACTTTCAGCTTTTCTCCTCTCTGCAGCTCAGACCGGAGCTGGAGAAGGAGAGCTCCTCTCCCACGCTGCTCCACGGAGAGCACAAAGCTCGCTTTCTCTCCAGCAAAGCTTGCTTTCTTCAAAAGGCAGACTCACCAGCCCAGAGGGAGCGTATTGCCTGTTCCACAGGTCCTCTCATGCAAAACAAGTACTTACTAATTGCATATTTGTCCTTTAAATGTCCCCTGCCTAAACAAAACAGACAGCTTGAGTGTCCATCTTGCGCTGGCATCGCTGCCTAGCAGGAGGCGCACAGTTTGAAGCCCGGCTACTTCTATGCAATTCCTCCTAAGCAGCAATAAGAAGTCCAGAAGAAGGCGTTTCCCTTTGGATACTATATATAGTAACTGCAAACTATTTACATGGGCTTAACAAGCACTAGTGAGCCAGAAGCAGCAAGCTGCAACTTCAGGAAACAGGAGCTAGCTGGGGCAATGAGAAAGAACTCATTGGGGCAATGAGAAAGAAAGGGGAACCGGGGGAGCCCAGCATTCATGCCCGTGGCTGAGACGCACGGGGTCTGCGTCCCCTCGAAACGCAGCCGACAGTGCCCTGGGAGCACGCCCAGCAGCAAAGACAACCTCTGCAGGCAGTCACTCCCCAGAAGACCCGAGATCTCTTCCAGTTTTACATGCTGCATTATCCACTGTCCCGAAGCTACCAAGCAACAGCTTCATACCCACGAGCCGGGCACACATCCTGCAGGTATTACACATCTTCCTCCCGTGAGCTGTCTACTCTAGGGTGTACCCCTGCACCCACGCCTGGTGTTACAGGTATACTCACCCAGGGTAACGAGGAACCTGTCGTCCCGAGAGAACGCCATGGCTTGTACTTGGGTCTCATGGTGGAAGAGACTTGCTGTGCAAACCCCGTCCTGGATGTTCCAGATGCAGATCTGACAATGGGAGTCTCCATTCCTCTTTCCCGAGGCAGAGGCAAGAACCTAAGAGAACAATCCATTGTCACTGAGACGTTGGTAAATAATTAGGGAACACTTCATTAGTTAGGCTTAGCAGCTGCTAGTAAACTAAAGTGAGGTGGTTGGCAAATGAAAAATTCTGTGAGAACAACCACCAGCTGATGGCAGGAGGGAATGCTAGCATCACCCAGAGGAAGGGAGCAGCCTTTACTGTCACACTGAGCCAGCACAATGGATAGCTAGGCTCCAAAAGCATTTGTTTTATTTCCATAACCCCAGGTCTCCATGCAGCAGGCAGAAGGAGGAATGGATAAATGGGATTTTAGCCTGTGACATTCCTTTAGCCCAAAGCACCACAGACAAAACCCAGCCCAGGGCAGCAGAAGCCTCTCCGACCTGGGCGTCGTGGCTGACGGCGAGCGTGGAGATCTCCTCTGCATGGCCAAGCCAGTGATTCTGTGATCCTGAGTGCAGGTCTTCAACCACAATGACGCAGCCACAGGTGTAGGCGAAGAAGCCTAGCAGAGGAGGAGGAGATGGGATGTTTTCATGTAAAGACTTCACATACAGCACCCACTACAACCTACAGCGTGATTCATGAAGACTCTTTTTTTCAGTAAAACGTAAAAGCTGACTCTTCTACACAGCCTGTAAGCAGGTGAGAGTGGAGTTAAGGACAAACCTCTCGTCCCCGAACCTGAGCAAAGCAAAGCTGTTGGGCACCACTCCAGCCTGGAGAAAGGAGTCAAGATGGCTTTTGCGAGAGCCCTCCCTTCTGCTCTACCCACTCCACAACTGAAGCCCGAGTCTGCCCGTATCAACTAACGCTTGCCAATAGCAAAGGAGGGTTACTGGATTTTACCAACGCAAAGAACCCCTGTGTTAAAGCAAAGATCGCAACCCAACAGCTACAAGATCATAAACTTGGTTCAGTACACCCCTCCCACCCCTCCAGAGCCTTCCTGGTGTACCTGTGTCCGGGTTCCACACCATATTTCCTCTGCCATTCCCGTTGTAGCCGATCACTGCTTTCAGCTTCAAGACCTCACTGCCAGCTGGAGGAGACAAGAAACTCTGCAAGAAAAATAGACACTGGCTTAAAACAAGCTCTAGAAGGATGGCCCGGTCAGGTACATTCAACATCCTCATAAGAAAAAGCGTGTGTGCAAGCCCACACGCGTACTCATGCACAGAACACGCAAATCATGCCAATATTGACACAATTCAAGTTCAACGTGTCGACGGATGAATACCAAAGTGCACACTTATATATACAAAAGAGAAACCGCAGCAGCAAAACCAGGCACAGAAGCTTTCAGATGGGGCACAAAACAGGCTGGCAGCGAGTGCCCAGCCGATGAGCAGCTGCGAATCCTGCTGGGAAAGAGGTCAATGGGATTTGCTGACTTGGGCATGTAGATGTTTCAAAAGGAAGACAGTGGCGCGGAGGAAAAATGCTACCAGGTGGAGGGACAGAAGAGAGAATTGAGGGTGCAAGCTGAATGTAGCTTTTCTCCCAGCACCACGAACAGCAGAGCTTAGGAAAGGTTGAATTAAGTTTTTGTTTTGTTATTGCCGTGTTTGTTAACAGAGCGAGAGCTGTGCCTTGACTATCTTCACTATGCTTGACGGATTGCCTTCCCCAGCCTGCTCTGCCAACGCATCTGCTCGCAAATATGGGTGCGTGATGAATCACTCCATTGCTCGCTCGTCTTTCACTTTCAATAGCACATGCCATTTCCATTTCTTTTGAATAAAAATGTATGCAGATTTGCTGAACAGAAAAAGAGTTGATCACAACTCACTTTGTACTAGTCTGGAAAGAGCTGCACGTAGACAAGAGAGGGGGACTAGCGTTAAGGGTTTCTAACTGAACATCAGGCCCAGGGGGTATATTTCACAAATTGCTTTCAAGCAGAGAAGAAAATGGAAACGATTTGGAAAACTCACCTACCCAAGCCCCAAAATGCCTATCACCTGCCCCAGGGAACCAGCCCTGGCACAACTCTCACCTGGGGGAGCACCGACGCCTTAAAGCGAGGAGTGAAATGCCGGTAGGAATCTGGGCGGATGGAGCACTGGGACTTGGGACTTTTGGTCTCCTTTCTGGGTTCTGCCACACAAAGAAGAAAACAGTACGTATGGGATGCTGCTCTTGGGAACAGTTCGGGAGCAGCAGCTAGGCTGTGGCTTGCTGGCCATTCAGATGCTGTGTATGTGCATGCGTGCATATACACACGCGCACGTGAGCAAAAATCAGACCGCAGCATCACACGTGCTCCTACGCGACTGGCTGTAGGAAAAACACCAGCTTTCCAGCAGGAAAACCCATCTCTCCCCCATCATCCCACTCAGCCACACCACACTGCAAACAGCCTAAGGGCATCCACGCTGCGTGCCCTGGGCATCGCTGCCAAATGCAGGAGCCACACAGCTAGAAAGAAGTCTTTAACGAGAGCGGTGGAGGTACAGTTTTATGGTGAAGCTTTCCAACAAGTCCTGCCTGGGGCTGAGTGCTGGCAGCTGCCTGCTTCTGGCAGCTCGCCACGAACTGCTGCAGCTTTGAGGCTGTGCGTCTATTAATAGAGACGTTGGGAGCTTTAATTTCAGTTTGGTTTAATAGAACGTGCCACTTAGAGATGATATTGGCTCCAAGCTGAAGAGGGGCTTCTGGTGTGCCTAGAAGCAGCAGCATGGAAAGAGCCAGAAGAACAAGCAGTCTCGGGGACCAGCATGAACTTCCCTTAGTACTGACTTCCCTCGGTAAAGGGAAGAGCCCTGAGGAACATGTTGCTGTCCTTCATCTCAAAACTCGGAGCACATGTCCGTGTCTATTTGTACCCTGTTAATAACGATCTTTCTTTATTTTTCAGGGATAGACCAAACTGCCACGCAGGCCTGCGCGCGTCGCGCCCCTAAGGAGCTGTACAAGATGGTAATACCCCCGATTTACCGTTCGATGATTGTCCAGGCGACTTCAAGCTCTCCTGCCTCACTTTGGGCCTCACAATAAGCTCCTCATTCCTGACCGACTCCACCACAAGGACCGAGGCATCTTTGTCTCCGTTCGCCACCACCCTGCTGCTGCCTGGCGGACCCGCTTCCTCCTCTTTGTCCGACTCGGAGAAAATACCTGAAGAGGAAAATTAGTGGGAGGAAAGAGCCATCCACGTCCTTCAGGACCGCTTCATGTGTGACTGACCCTTTGACTTCTGGCAGTGTCATTCTCCTGCTCTGTATAACAGTCCATCTGTTAGGGTGGAGGGCAAAGCAGACATTTCCTACTGGGTACGTCCAACAAGGTATTTACTACAGCCCTCAGAGAGGCTGTGCCAGCAGCTTAGTGTATGGAGGAGAGCAGAGGATAACGCGGTGCTGAACCCCGACACCTCTGGCTGGCCTTGTCCAGCTTAGGGGAAGGAAAGTGCAGGCTGGTCGGTCAGTCTGCAGGAAAGGGCTCACGGGCAGGGACGACTCCAAGGATGCTGCTGAACTAGGCAAGGAGTTTTTCCTAAAACAAGATTAATTTTCCCCTTTCCTGCAAGCAGTTCCTCTTACTTTGACATCCTGCTTGGTGGACAGAGCTGACATCCAAACACGGTGGCAAGGACAACAATGGAAGAGGCGCTGTCTGCCGAGGTGTCTCAGAGGCATCCTTTAGCTTCTCAGAGCTCCCTTCTGCGAAAAGAAAAGGGTTTGTGTGATTTCCTTCATCCCTTCGATCCTCTCATCCTCCTGGGTTGATCAATGGCAATACCTCCAAGCTCATTTCTCCAGCTTCTCCAGTGGAGAAGCCACTTCTCTGTACTTCAAAAAAGAGAGGGACAGAGAAAGAGAGGGACAATGACAGCAGGGAAAAAGAAGGCAGAGGAGATGGAGGCAGGGAAAGACAGAAGGCAAAAGCTTAAATACCTACCAGAAAACCCAGAGCAGCTCTGCTCAGAACACCTCCTCCTTAGCAGGCTCCCACTGAGAGGTGTTAATTAATTGAAGACTGTCCTTTGGGGCTAATTAGGTGGTTAGCCCCTCTGCTATCTGACTCCCTCAGGGAAGGAACCAAAAAGCCCAACCCCTACCCTCTGCCTTGAAGAGCAGCTGTGGAAGAGCTGCCAACCTCAGCGCAACTCACGGGAGGAGGCAAACTCACCTGCTCCCGGCAGCAGAGCAGACTCAGAGGAACGAGCCCTGGCAAGGCAAGGAGACCGGCGTTACAACAAGACGGGATGCGGCAGAGGAAGTGACGGGAAGCAGGGGAAGGGTCTGCCCAGCACTGTGCACTTACCCGGCTAGGGGTGACCTCTCAGCAGGCAGAGCTAGGAAATCCCAGAGGAAGATGGCATCTCCAACGCTGACGACGTGCTGTTGGTCTGGGGTGAAGGCCACCTGGCGCACTAGCTCCGAGTGACCTATGTATACCTGGGAAAGAGCACACCCTGAACTTCTCCATCACCAGGCCTGTCCTATCAGGATGGTGGTTACTCCACTCCCTGCCCTCCACAGCCAGCGTCTACACGCCTCAGCAGAAGATCTTCTCAGAGGCCAGCACCACACCTACAGTGCTCAGACCTAGGGATGATCAACCTAGGGTTGACCTTCAACACACTGATCAGGCAGAAAGTGAACCCCCCAAGGTCTTATCCTATCTTGTAATACTTCTGAAAGCCTGGGCAAGCCGTTTTCTTCTCTGGGTGGCTCTAGCACAGAGGTAACACCTACCTCTGTCCTTCGCAGAGGGTCTTACTACGCGCGGAGCTTTGGCAGCCCCAGCCTGTGCCCAGTGCTGGGCTTTATTACAGTGTGGAATGAGGCTGCATTTCTCAGCTGCTGGGCAAACTGAGGACACTGGGCCAAGTCACACAGAGGCATTTGCTGCTCTTTTCTCCAGGGATTCAGAAGTGCAACACCAAGCCCCTTTTCCCTCCCTTTGTGGGCGGTACCTGGAAGTTGATATCGAAGCGCATCTGATAGTCCCACACTTTGATAACTTTGTCACCAGCAGTGAGCAGGTACCTGCCATCCTTGCTCAGCGCCAAGGAAGAGCAGGACAGCTTGTGCACGGGAGACACCTGAGGACAAGAAACGGCACCAGCAGCATTAGCTGAGCTACTTCATATCGTTTCTTATGCTTCAGCAAGGCAACAGGAGTGTGACAGCATGGAAAACAAGAACAGGCTCAGGCTCTCCCTGAGCACGACCACACCAGGATAGCTACATTGCCACTCACGTGTTTCTTTGAAGCCTGTGAACTCATTTAGCCCCCTACAGTGACATGAAGTGCCCCCAAGTGAGGCAAGAATTTCATAGCATCCTACCTCTCGCACCAGTCGTCCCGTTTTTGCATCAAGCATAAGGATTTTATTGGAAGAAGTGGACACCAGGAGCTCGCCTCGAGGCGCCGGAGCAAAGCAAACTCTCACTGCAGAGTCCAAGGCCGTGCTGTTTAAATTGAGGATGCTGATGTCCACTCTCAGCAGCTGTGAAACAAGGAGCTACTGAACAAACGTCCCAGAGCAAATACCGCAGAAGCCTCAGGATTGCTCTTGTGGCTCTCCTAACCCGAGGCTACAGAGTCCCCCACACCCTTTCCTTCCCACCGAATGAGGGGCTGCAGGGTACAGGCAATGTCGCTGCTGCCCAGGAGAGCAGCTCACAACAAGGAGTTGGAGCTGACGGTCTACACAAGAGTTCTTCAAATTATCTTTCTAGAGGGGACTGAAGCCGGAGAAGAAGAAACCTTAACTTTCTTTGCTCACAGAATGGAAAACAAACCTCATTGTAAGCACCCTGAGCAAGGGTTTGCTGTGCAGGGAAGGGCCCTCTCCAACACTGCTGCTGCCCAAGGCCCTTGGTCCATCTCATATGATGCAGCCTACGGGAATTTGCCCTGCAGCATATGCTCCCCTCCCCACATGCCCCCAGGAACGAGGGGAGCCTGCTGGGTACCTCATCTAGAGAGCAGGCCTCCATCACGGTCACGATGTACTTGGAGGGACCCACGAAGGCCAAGAGATGGCTGTCCCCGCTGACCACCAAAGCATCCGGACCGCTCCCAGCATCCCGGGCCACCACATTGCCTGAGGGCCACAGCAAAAGAGAGCGTGAAGACAGGAGCAAAGCCCACGCTGAGGCCAGCTCGCTCTGCGATGGTGCTGCTGACCAGTAGCTGCAGCTTCTCCTGCCTCTGAATCAGCCTGGGGTTAATGTTCTGGCTTGAGAAAGAAGCAACCTCTGTTGTAGAAGATGCTACAAATTTTACCTGCAACACCCAGCGCGTGCAGTGAACCACCTCCAAGACAAGGTCTAGATACGGGGCTTGTCACCTGACTGAACGTGCGGTGTTTTCAAAGGAGAGCAGAAAAAAGTGAAAGGAATAAAACTGATTTTAGTGTTTATTTTTTAATGTTACAAGAAGCTGTGACAAGGAGCTACGGATGCGAGATCTCAGCTGCAGCCTGGGTGTCTGAACACCGCGCAGAATGAAGTCAGTGCCAAACCCCGCAATGCTGAGGTCAGTCAGGTGGGCAGGTAGACCCAAAGGACTAAAAAAAAAAAAAAAAAAAAAAAAAAAAAAAAAAAAAAAAAAAAGAAAAATCACAGAAATCAGAGCAATTCTCTGTATTTATTCCACTAGCAAAATTCCACTGTTCTGTCCCTGGAACATGGCTTGGCAGTGAACACTGGTTCAGAACAGAGTCAAAATATTGAAGGATGTTGAGTTGCTGAAGCGTGTCCAGAGAAGGGCAACGGAGCTGGGGAGGCGTCTGGAGCACAAATCTGATGAGGAGCAGCTGAGGGAACTGGGGGTGTTCAGTCTGGAGAAGAGGAGGCTGAGGGGAGACCTTATCGCTCTCTACAGCTACCTGAAAGGGGGTTGTGGTGAGGTGGGGGTTGGTCTCTTCTCCCAAGTAACCAGCGATAGGACAAGAGGAAATGGCCTCAAATTGCGCCAGGGGAGGTTTAGATTGGATATTAGGAAAAATTTCTTCACCGAGAGAGTGGTCAAGCTTTGGAACAGGCTGCCCAGGGAGGTGATGGAGTCACCATCACTGGAGGTGTTCAAAAAACGTGTGGACGTGGCACTTCAGGACATGGTTTAGTGGGCATGGTGATGTTGGGTTGATGGTTGGACTTGATGATCTTAAAGGTCTTTTCCAACCTTAATAATAATGATTCTGTGAAAACGTCAAGGTCCAGCTGCAGCGCTGACACCAAACTTGGGTCATTTTGGACAAATTCCCTGATCTCTCTGAGCCCTTATTCCTTCTCCACTGCTTCAACTGCACATTTCTTGGGGCAGGATCCTCCTCTTTGTACAATATTGCATAACAGAGCTCCCTTTCCCTGCCCAAGCTTGTGCTGCCACAGCTCATTTCAAAAGCATACATTAAACATGACATTAACGTTTCAAAACTGAAAAAACATTTCAAAATCCTGCTGCAGGCAGGATCAGGGAAACCATCCAGTTTAAACAAATTAAACTGCATAACCACAGAATGGAAAGAGTCAAGGTTTTGGCACAAATAAGGAGGCAGACTCTGCACTTGTGTTGTTTCTGGGCAATGCACTGTTGAACCCGGACCTGAAAGGGCAGGTCTCTGCGATTCCAGCCCATTCACAAAATCGTAACACCAAGCAAGCTGAGAGCTTTTGAAGCAGGACTGGTAGGGAAGGGTTGGCACATGTTTATAGTATATATTTTTATACACTGAAATCAATTTTATTCCTTTGACTTTGTTCTGCTCTCCTTGAAATACATATTAGGGTTTGCTCACACATTTACAGTATAAACCCAAATGACACAGCTCAGAAGGTTCATCAGAAAATATCTCTCTGAGTAGGCTGAGTCTGGTTGGGCTTTGGTGCTACCAGAAACCAAGAAGAAAGGCAATGCAGAACCCCAGAGTCTTACACAGGACTCTCAGGACGTGGCTTTTCTGCGCCATACAGCTGTAAAGAGCCAGAGTTCCCTGCAAGCAGGAGCTGAACATGAAATTGCCATCTGGAGAGAAGGTCAGGCCAGTGATCACAGTGCGGTGCTGCCTGAAAGAAGGCAAAAAACATGAAAAAAGGGAGGAGAACAAACAAACAAAACGCCAGAAAACAGTAGCAACAGTGAAGAAGCCAGGGAAGCAGGCAGAGGACCCCACAGTGCTCATGCCTGCAGCAGCCCAGGACAATCAACACTCCAACTTTCTGGAAAACTGAGCAGCAAGCGCAGCAGTCCACCGGTCCCTGGATTGGACATGCTCCCTCTCCCTTTAGAGCATCCGCCGCTTCCCACGCCGAGGCTCGCAAGGGCTCCCTGTTCAGCTGCTCTCTAGGACAAGCCTTTTCCTACTGTTGGCCAACCACACACCGGGAAGTCCTAAAGAAAGCCCTCATAGCCTCTCAAGCCGGACTTTTACCACCCAGAGCCTCGGCACAGCAGGCTGTCTCCGCCTGAAAGCTACTCAGCTGGGACGTGAGGGTTGCGGAGCTCAAGAAAAGCACTTTTCCCACCTCCACGATTATCGCTGTGGCTCTTGCCAGGATGCCCACAGGCAGACCCGTACCTGCCGCAGCGCAGCTCCCACTGCAAGCGCTTACTTGTGCTCCACCAGCAGATCGGAGGCAGCCAAGCTGAAGGTCCGCACCGTCCCGCTGTCAAAGCCGCAGGCCAGGATCTGCTGGGTAGGGTGAAAGGCCACAGCACACGGCATTTCCTCTGCAGCTGTGAAGTCGTACAGCTGCGGGGAAGAGACACACCGCAGGCACAAAGCTGGATAAAGCTGTACCCGGCAGCCGAACCTAACACCAAAACATCCTCAGACCTCCACCGTGAGTGCCCCCCACAACAGAAATCTCCTCCAGCCTGGATGGATCTAAAAGCTCAGTGAAGTCCTGGGTCTTTGGGCATTTAAGATAAAGCCCTTGGGTATTACGTTTTACATTAAAAAGCAATATTCAAAAGATGGAGAAAAAGAAAATATTTTTGTTTAACAGTAACCTTCAGAAGCTAAGGCCAAATTACGCGTTAAGCTAAAACTCTCAGAACTCCACGTGCCAGAAGGATTCCTTGCCCACGGTACCCCCCATGCTTCAGGGAGGATATTTAAGCGATCTTGAACTGTGGAGCTTTGATAACTAGACTAAACAGAGACTAGGCAGACTATTAATAAATGCAAGACACCTACTGACTCTCGTCTCACCTGCTGCATGGAGACGAGGTCCCAGACTCGGATGGTATTGTCCCGAGACACCGTTGCCATCTGCTTCCAAATCCCCTCCACTGAGAAGGCCAAAACAGAGTCCTCGTGAGAGCGCATGAGGGTGTTATAGTGCCGGGATTGGATATCCAGGTAGCCCAGATTCCCAGCAGTGGTTGTGCACAAGACTTTGCGGCTGTCCGGGCTGATGCAGGCAGAACTCACCGGAGCCTCGTGCTCTGGGGAAAGACACAGGAGTCGGCAAACCCCCCTGGAAAAGGAGCAGCAGCAGCTGGAGCACAGCTGCCGAACCAGATTCAGATGTAGGAAAGTAATGTACACAGGAATGAGCATCCCACATGGCCTCAGGACTGAATGCTTGCAGGTTTGAGTTCAGTGACAAATTACTCTCTGCCCTTTCTAGAAGTCCCCGGGCTCTGCTGTTATGGTGGTTCGTTCAAACTTCTGCCCTGATTTTTCACAGACAGAAGAGCCATGCGTACAAGGGCACAGAAATCAAGATGGAGTGCCTGCTCTCACCCAGCAGACCCTGCCTTTCTCCTGCGAGTTACAAGAATGAACATGAATAATTGCTGTTGAAGTAAAAGACTTCCAAGCCAGCCATCCCTGGAGACAGCAGGCATAAAAGATGCCCTTGGTCATGAGAATTGCTGTAGGAGACATGGCAGTGAAGCTTTGGCTTCACAGCAGCAGGCTGATGGAGATGTGGAGCTCAGAAGCCCCGGCCCCAGCTCTACTCACCTGCCTCCAAGACAACGGCTGAGAAGTCCAGTGGCCACAGCCGCAGGTAGCCATCTTCTGAACCCGTGGCACAGAAGGTTGAGGAGATGCTAATACTGTTTATAGCGATCCCAGGGCCTGAAAACCCCAAAAACAATACTGTCTTCTACACTTGAAACAAGAAAACTCAAACTGGTTGCCCCGTCCAAGAGCCGAGTCCAACGCTCCACCCGCACCAGCGGCTGAAGTCTCAGAAGCAGCAGCCAGGAATCCCACGGTGACTGACAGCCCAGGCTGATGAGTCTCGCCTAGCCCTTCTCAGGACTCAAAACACGTTCAGTCCCCCTCCCTTTCCAGCACCCCTCTTTTACCATCGTGCAACTCTCACCAGGCGCAGAAAATTCTTACCGCTTGTTAAACCCTGCCGTATTTTTGCCTTGAACAGGATCCGGCAGCAAGGGATATCCTAGGTTAACTGCCCGAGATACAAAACCCTTTCATTTCCGTGTCTCAAATCCTCTCTGCAGTGTAGTGAGGAGGGAGAGAGAATACAGAGCTACCGAAACTTGGATTTTTTGATTCAGGTATAAAGTCCGTTGGTCAAAGCACTGGCATGAGCCAGCACTGCTACCGGGAGGACACCCAAGGACATCGTTTCATCTCCTCTCGCGCGTTTTCTCACCCATGAAGTGAGAACCGGAGTTACGTACCTCTCAAAGGGCCATGCTCTAGATTAATTAGCTCAATTTGCCACAGCAAACTATGCACTAAGTTTTAAGGTATCAGAGTGATCACGCTTGAAAATGAATTCTTCCTGCTGTTAAAATTAATGGAAGAGCTGAAAGCTGTTGTACTTAGTATACAGCAACAAAGATTTCCCAAACACTCTGCGCAGGCTGAATAATGAAAAAAATCCCCAAATTCATCTTTTTGGTTGGTCTGCTTAGCTCTTTTTCCATCTCTACATTAAGATTCCCATCAGCAAATTAAGACCTTGTTCAATGTTTCTAAAAGTAGTGTTTCTCTGAAAGTGCAATCAGCATTTAAAACGCTAAAATTCTTTCTTAAAATGACACTTTGCTGTACTAAGAAGATTATTTGCCGTACTTAAGAGACAAATAGCTAGCAATGATCTAATCAACCCAAAATAATCCTTAGCTGGTAAATGGCTGGTTTATTTTACCAGAGATTGGTTTGAATTCATTTCTGACCCCCACGATGGTCGAGGTGCTCCCTGGACTCCTACCTGTGCCGCTGCCCGCCTCGTCCTGCCGCC